TCATCGTCCACACAGATTTTAGGTTAGTTTGATTATTAACTGGATTTATATTGTTTTTGTGTTTGAACAAACTATATTCATTTAAGGGTTGGGAGATAATCCGGTAGAAATATATCAATCATTGATTGAAGCGTGTCATGATGTAAGCTTATCATTTCAAGACGTTTTAAGCAGGTTTTAAAACAAATGCTTTATACTGTTCATGAACATTACGCTGCGGGGTAGAATTAATTCTGGTAAATGCGTGCGTTAAAACGGTTTCTACCTGATACACCTGCTCGTATTACTGACTAAACTTTCGCTCCCTGTGCTTAAACGGTCAAATACACATAGTTACGTGTCAAAATGCCCGTCTTTGCGAGTATCCTCGTAAACACAGTTATTTGTGTCTTAAATGAATGTTAGCCTAATAGTTAAAGATAAAGCATGTGTTAGGCTATATGAGATCCTTAGCCTATACGATGAGATTTTAAAAGGATATTCACCCAAAAAGGAAGATACTGCACAGCAAAAATATGTTGGGAGATTTGTCACCATGGGTGTTAAAATTATCACTTTTCGGGTGAACATACAGGTCCATCTTTGCTAGTGTTAAAACAACACTGACAAAAGTGTTTATTATACAAACACTGAGTTAGTGTTTCATTTTAATCACTCTAGGTGTTGAGAAATTATTACTCGCAAGTGTACACATTTAACACTCTATGGTGATTAATCCCACACACCCAGTGTATTTATTTAATGTTGATTTAATGTGAATTTTGTAAATATTATTTTAAAATGGTAATGCAGATTAAATTTCAAACATAAACCTATAAATATTTTTCAAAAACCAAGTGACTATGAATTTATTTCAACATTTATTGAAATTTTTTAATATATCAAACATACAATTGAATAAAACAGCTCTGGTAGTCTCCAATGCATCTTAACACTGTTTGGTATGAAAATACACATTCATTATGATAAACATTTCTTTATAAATCTCTACTGAGTTTCAAACAAGTTCATTTTTTGCAACTATGTAGAAAAATGAGTCAGCACCATAGGACATCTGTGCATCAAACAAAGAAACATTCCTTAAGTTGTCCTTGTTCACTATACATGCATGTTGAGGTGCTTTGTCAAATAATCTGTAGGCATGGACATGTTCAATAAACGTTGACTCGTAGTCTTTTAACAACAAGAAAACTTGCTCTCTGAGCAATAATATATTTAGTATTTTGCTGAAAACGGGCATTTCGTCAACAATATCAGAACACACGAAAAGGCCAACTCTGTACTCTGCTCCAGAGCATTTTACCCACTTTGTATGTTGAATTTCAGTTTGAGAATCAATGCAAAGTTGTTCAGAAATCTCCTCAAAATGATCCAAACACAGAAGTTTATGTACCTTCGCTGGTCCAGATTCCAGAGAATTGTAATTCATACATTCCCAGTGATAGGCCACAGCAAATTGGTGTTTTTTTGCCAAAGACACAGTCAAATTCTTAAAGTTCTTTATGCAGTTCTTAAAGAACTTATGTTTGGCCTCGAACCTCATTGACCAAACATGCAACAATGGACCAATTCTCCGAATACAGCGAGGATAGTGTAACATAAAATGATGTTTAGGTATTAAGTTTTTGGATGGGTACAGCTCCTTAAACAGCTGATGATGGTCTTTAACGAGGTGTTTCAAAAACACAGTCATACCCTCTGTGACTGACGGTGAGAACACAATGTTGATGATCTGCAAAAGCAACAGTAACAAATACCAATGCAGGATTCCCTGAGGAATAACATCACCAAAAATCAACGGTATGTTTGTTATTAAACAAAGAGTCTGTGCAGCGTTTAATCCAATGCCATTACCGTCAGAGTCCAAGTTTATTTTAGTTGGCCGATTTGCTCTTTCCATGTGACCAAAGTTAAAGGCATAGACTCTGTTGAGCAGGCTTTCTTTTGAAATGAAGCTGTTCTTAACCATATAATCAAAGAGAAGTTTCATCTCATACTGACCGACACCCTCTAAAATATCGTGCATTATATCAAAAGCGAAGTTTTCAGATACATTAAAGTATGAGAGTGTATTGAGTATGCTGTTGCGCTTAATTCCATGTGAAGATGTAAGAGTTGGTTCCTCTGAAAGATCAGCATAGTGTTCTTCATTAAGAAACTTTGTTCTCAATTTCAGTCGTGGATCATCCTCTGAAAAAACTTCTTGAGACAAAACTTTGTCAATCAAGCATAGGCGGCAGAAATAGTTTGCACTGAACGACTCCATAAAAACCGAGAATTGAGTGAATGCCCAAGTTATCACCGGTGACTTGTGCAAGCGTACCCCTTACAGGCATCTCGCAGAAAGGGACGTTTATTCCTTCAGTCTCTAAAATGTTCATATCGTCCACAAAAGGCTTCAATATTGAATCTATTCCATACTTTTTGGCATCTTGTGAATGAAACAATGACACCAGATGAATGTTCATTAGAGTTGAATTTACTTTTGGGGGAAGGTTTCGGAGAATGAAGTATAGACAACCAAGTTTATGGATCCCTTGTTTTGATCCTAA